TGGGCAGTAAGGGAGCATAGGGTGTGTGGTTTGTTCTGGGAAGACAGACTCTTCAGATCATCAAAAGAACCCATGACTACCAAAAAAAGGACATGAATCATTTTCAGAGAGAATTTCTGAACTGAATGGGAATTGCATTTGAAAAATGTGAGCATGTGCAGCTCTGAAATTCTGTTTCTTTCACTTCATACGAGGGGGGGGGGGGGAGAGAGCGCGAGCGCTTGTCTCTTGATATTCCTGCTCACTCTTGCACTTTTCCAGTTGCTGTTCATATGTTGGACGCCGAGGAGGAGGTCCACAGGCCATCTCCATCGGGAAAAACTGTGATAAGTTTGGGATTGTGGCTCACGAGCTGGGTCATGTGGTTGGATTCTGGCATGAGCACACGAGACCAGACAGAGACCAGCATGTTACCATCATCAGAGAAAACATCCAGCCAGGTAAGGATGAATTCAGGCCATGCTGACTCTGGAAACCAGGGAGGCAGTATCCACTGAGTCAGCATGGAGGGGTGGACAGGGGCTGCTGGGAACTGACCATATTTTCTTACTTAGTGTAGAGGCAGGAGGTCTGTCATGCTTGCATTTGCCACCAGCACAGCCACTGGACACCTGTGGCCCTTGTTGAGAGACTATCTGCCAGGTCTGGTAGCATAGAGCGAGACTGAAATGCTATTCCATGTTGTAAAGAACAATCAAATCCGGGCCTATTTCCTAAAAGGACCAACGAGAACACAAATTGAGCATCACAATTGATAAGCTGGAGACACAATGAGAGAGAGATTTCCTGCTTGAGTGACTTTGCATGCATTATTTTTTCTCATCTTTTTAAATTTGAAATCCAGTTAGGATAGATATATGCCCATGTAAAGACGAAACTTCTTTGTATAAATAAAATATATTCTTCCTCAAGGCAGACAAGTGTCAATATTTTTAAAAATGGCTTCTCATGTGAGATTTACTATTTAGAAACATTTATAATTTATATGTATAACTCTTTAAAAAGCAAATTATTTTGCAGAAGTTTATATTGAACATGAAGGAAGCTGATTGAATAATATACTTACCTTAGAAATATTTCTGAGAATTTTAATGGTGGCCTATTTGGGACTGAACTTGACTCTGATTTATTTTCTTTATTTATTTCCTTCAACTGCAGAATTTGAGGTTTGGAATTTTTTTTTTTTTTAATTTGGGACAAGCTGGTCATATCCACTATGTCTGCAAACAGTTTAGGAATTTTGAGTTAGGTCTGGGGAGATTTGTTGGGTGTTGAGGTTTGGAGAACATAGGATTTGCTCTGAGTTTCAAATTTGCAGTCTACTCAAATGGACAAGAACCCTATTATTTGATTGAGTGGATTAATCGGGATCCCGGAGTTGCTATGGGCCCTCCTTCTGCCTCCTCTGCCTCCTTTCAGATGCCTGCCTTGGTTTGCAAAGACCTTAACAGAGTGTTGTGTCACAGGTCAGGAGTATAATTTCTTAAAAATGGAAGCTGGGGAAGTGAGTTCTCTGGGAGAGACGTACGACTTTGACAGCATCATGCACTACGCCCGGAACACCTTCTCAAGGTTGGAATCTATGACTTGTCTGTGTTTTACTGTGCCTGCTGCAGCTCGGATTGAGTTCCTGGAGGTTTACAGAGAGTGGGACTCTGCATGCTTCTAGCAGGGCTGGCCCGTCTGTCCTTGAAATACCGCGGCCTCTGAGCTGCAGTGAAATATAATCTAATCAGGTTCCCACTAATAAGATTGAATCCCATTGTGAAGCCAGTGTTCCATCATGCCCAATGCCACAAGCAGCAAACAGTACATGAAAAATAATGGAGAGGTTGGCGAGGTTGATAACTTCGAGCCTCTTAGAGGTGAAGGTATATTCAAAAGAGTGTCCTTGATGTTAGCAAAGTGGTCTCACCATTTCTCCTTGGCGAATCTTGGATTTTTTGGAAGCTAGGACCATATCATGGTTAGTGGAACTGTAAATCACCAATTCATTTTAGAGGTGAAGAAAATGAGGCTCCAGGTGGCTTGTGGGCTGTAAGCATCTGGGCTTGGATCAGAGATCCTGGTTGCCCAAGTATAGGTGAGACAATTGCCTTATCAGAATTCTGATTAATTTATCCTGTGAGGTACCAAGTATTAAGTATTTTCATTACTGTTTCATCATTTTTTTATTTGTCCCTAATTTTTGAAACATATATGAAAAATGTCCTTCCATTTCCAGTTTTCTTTTAACTCTTGACTTAAACATGATACTCAGTATGAGTAATTTCTCTCTAGGCACCTTCTTTTAGGTTTGCTTTTGAAGCCAGTTTGTTTGCTTATTCATCCATTAATTTCTTTTGTCATTACAAATGATAGATTTTAGATGACTTGTAATATAGATACAATATAAAAAAAATGGAAGCTGAAACTAGAGAGGAAGAGGTGATAGGGTAGAAAAACTAAGTAGATGGTTGGGGTAAATATTAAGATGTCATAAGTCATATACACTTGGTTGGGGTTGACTGTAAAGTCTGCCCTGAGCTTCCTAGCAGACATAGCAAAGAGGGGAAAATCTAAGCCTATACAAATTAAGGGAAAGCATTTGTTCAGGAGATACACAGCTCCCAACAGTGAAAGGGAAATTGTTTACTAAGCCAGGAAATTAAAAGATGAATTGCATTGGGAAAGTCTGCTGTCAGGGACCTCTCCAGAATACTGAAGAGCAACAATGTCAGTCTAGTGATTAAGGTGCACCTGATTCAGGCATATTATTTCTTGTCTTTCTTTAACAAGTATTTCTGATTTTCTGTGATTTCTTACTCATACTCATACCTCCCAGTCAACCATTATTTAAACCAGCATTGCCAATGTGAATCTTCTGTTTTGTTTTGTTTTGTTTTGTTTTGTCAGACCAGCAGAAACCCACGGACCAAATACAAGAAGTGTTCATAAAAAGTACCTAGGGTTACTAGAAGCAAGATTGGCAAAGCGATGGTGCTTTGAGATGATGCAAAGCTAGCAGCAGGCAAGCTTCATAGAAGGCACTGAACATAGGAAGACTTATCTTTCTGCTACCGTTACATTGTTTATTGCTGGAGAACAATTTATTCTCAAATTTAGTGACTTCTAACAATAGCTTATTATTTTGTGCAGTTCTTTGGGTCAGCATGGCTTGTTCTTTGGTTTCCTCTGGGAGAGTCCAGGACGGCCAGTCGCACGTCTGGTAGTTTGTGCTGCCTTTCCCATGGAGCCCTTTTGTTCTCTTGTCTGGTTGTCTGAGCTAGAGTCTCAGAGTTCCCAAAGGGCGATTTGGAGCTGGACTGACACATGGATTTCTTTGCTACAAGCCTCTTAAGGTCTGGGTTCCCCAAAGGCCTGAAATAGTTTTTGCTACATGCTGTTGGTCAAAGCAAATCATAAAGCCAATTCAGATTCAAGCAAGTGAAAAAATAAATGTCACCTTTTGATGAGATGAAAACAAATAGGTCTTTCTTGAGAGGGTGAAACCAACTTTCTCCTTGGAGGCTAGGTCTCACATTGTTTGAGCAGGAGGCCAGGAGGGACTGGTTTTTTGAGAAGAACATTGTGTTCAGAAGGGTGGAGGAACAGCTCAGGAGAGGAAGACTCCAGATGAGATGAATTGATACAGTAACTGGGGCAATGGGGTAGGTGTGTCTGAGTCAGTGAGACTGGCTCAGGACAGGGCAGGGTTCACGGCTGTTGTACATAGATTCTCTGTGAGTCGCAGGCAACTCAACAGCACATAACAACAACAACAACAAAAATTTACGCTAATTATTTAATACTACTACCTTCTTCCCTGATTCTGCCCGGCGGCATGCTGTCTGTCTCCCCTCAGCACCTCCCGACCGATTTTGGCTCCGCATTGGGCTTTGTACCTGTTGGTGACAGAAATGAAGCTGGAGATAGAATGATTGAATTTTGTACAATCATTGACTTACTCATTGCAAATACGTTTTATAAGAAACATAAACGCAGGCTATACACATGGATTTCACCTGATGGTATGCATAGGAATCAGATCGATTACATCTGCGGAAAAAAACGCTGGAGAAGCTCAATATCAGCTGTGAAAAGTAGGCCAGGAGCTGATTGTGGAACAGACCACTAACTACTCATATGCAAGTTCAAGCTGAAACTGAGGAAAGTTAAACCAAATCCACAGGAGCCAAAA